TATATATATATATATATATATATATATATATATATATAATAACAACAATGAGAATAAAATAATAATACTAAATTGATGCAGTTCAAATATAATACAATAATTTTAGAGTAAACATAATTTATGTAATTGAGGTAGATAAAAATTATAAAAAAATAACATTATATGAATAATTATATTTTTTTTACAAAGAAAAGGTGTGAGAATTATAGAAATATAGTTTAAAAATTAATGATTATTTTTTATTATTATTAAAAATATGATAAAATTATATTACTTTTAGTCCTAATTATAAACGTGACAAATCATATAAAAAATATATAATTAATATAATTACTTTTAATTAATTTTATCATAATTCAAAATTTATTTTAAATATATCTTTTATTTAATTGATAGATATATTTAAAATTAATTATAAACAAATGTATCAAAAATATAATTGACAATAAATAAAAGAATGTAAAAGAAATTTAACTTTAAGTAAAAAAAATTAAAAAATTAATATATATAATTAGAAAATTTTCTGTCATGTTACCACAGTCTAATATGAGTTACTAATAAATATTGATATTTATTAGTAAAATATAATATATGGAATTTTTTTGAAGATATATTTATAGAAAAATATCAAATAAAAATGTAATTAATTTTTTTTTTGTAAGAATTTAATATTTTATAAATATTTATTGGTGTTGTCTACTTGATTTAAAAATAATGAAATAACAAAGAAAAAATAACTTGAGACGACCGGTAATGATTTTGGTATGCATGTGTGTACAGTACACTGTACATTAATAAAATAAATTCCATATGAAAATAGGGATGGGAAAGGAAAGCGTGTGGGAGGGAGGGGCATTTTGGAGAAAACGAGGGCAATCCGATAGAAAAAAAGGGTTTTATTTCATTTTTTTTTCCTTTTTCTTTCTTATTCAGTTCCGTTTTGTGTTGTGTGCTGAATCGAATCAAAATCAAATCTTGTTGGGTTTTTTTAGTAAAAAAGAGAGAGAGAGAGAGAGAGATTTGAAAAGAGTAAAGGAGTGATGGCTCGGAGAGCGGAGGAAGAGTACGATTATCTGTTCAAGGTGGTACTGATCGGCGATTCTGGTGTTGGAAAATCGAATCTTCTCTCCCGATTCACTCGCAACGAGTTTTGCTTGGAGTCCAAATCCACCATTGGCGTGGAATTCGCCACTCGTACCCTTCAGGTCAACTCAACTCAACTCTTTTTCCATCCCAGATCTGCCCCCTGTTTTAATTTAATCCATTCAAATTCAAATGTAGCTGGATCGTCTATGTAAACTTGTACTTGTGATCAGATGGAATATCTATCTATTCTATATAATAAATATGACAAGGAAAAATAAAATTAATTCCTTTTGTGTTAGTTTAAGCATGACGAAAAAAATCAATTTATGCATAAATAGGAAGTCCTATTTTTTTTATTCTAAGGAAGAACTTATGGTCGTGGTGTGTGGGGGTGGATGCCACAATTGAGGTTGCATGCAGCCACTTGTAAGCAAGAGAAGGATTTTGATAGTGATAAACTGATAATATATGGTTTTGCTTTGTAATTGCTAAACCATATACGAAGAATGAAATATGAATATGTATTGGGTTGGCAATGGCAGGTGGAGGGAAGAACTGTGAAAGCTCAAATATGGGATACGGCTGGACAGGAACGATACAGAGCAATTACCAGTGCCTACTACCGTGGTGCTCTTGGAGCTCTTCTGGTCTACGACGTCACAAAACCAACCACATTCGAAAATGTGAGCCGGTGGCTGAAGGAGCTCAGGGATCATGCTGATGCCAACATTGTGATCATGCTGATTGGGAACAAGACAGATCTTAAGCATCTCAGAGCTGTTGCCACTGAGGATGCACAGGGTTATGCTGAGAAAGAAGGCCTCTCTTTCATTGAGACATCTGCCCTTGAAGCAACCAATGTTGAGAAGGCTTTCCAGACAATTCTTGGAGAGATATACCGCATAATCAGTAAGAAATCACTCTCTTCCAATGAGCCTGCATCTTCCAATATTAAAGAAGGCAAGACTATCAATGTTGGGGGACCCGAACCCAATACAAAGAAGCCTTGCTGTACATCATCTTGAAACTTAATTTGTAATTTCTATTCATTTTCCTACTTCCTCACTATCAAGCACATTGTTTTCCTTGTTTTCTTTATCATTCTTTTTTAACTTATTTTGGCATGTTATCTGGATGGATTTATAATGATTTCTTATGCTTGTGCGTGCTGATTAATGAGTATTATCCCAGTTTTTAAGTTTCCACGTGTACTACCTTTGTTCCTTAGCACTGGCTTGGCTCGCAGATCTGCTATTCATGTTTTCAATCCATATTAATTTCCTCCCGTCGGTGTCGGTGCTATCAACATTGGTGGACTCTAGGTTCATTGTGATCGAAGATAATATTTGTTGATGGAGCATTACTATGGAGGCTGAAAGCATAAATCACCCACATCATAGGAAAAAGACTCGCTTGTGGTTGTGGAAGAAATTCTTACGTAGGCTTAGTCATTATAATATAAACTGACATCTCATCTTTTTAAAAGCAGGATAACATGCGTGGTGCTGATATTTATGCTGTTATTTAACGTAAAAGAATGATGTGTTTGGGTGTGATTGACCGTTAGACACACTTTTGGAGAAAATTAGTTAGCGAGTTTTTCGATAATTAAAAGTTCAAAATAGGTAAAAGTAATAATAGTGAATTGTTTTCTGGTTGGGTCTTCATTTATTGAAAATATTTTCTACATTTCCCATTGTAGCTACCGACTTTGTTGTCAAAAATCTAAATCACCTTCATACCTTTGTCACCTTCATCACCTCTGCCTTTGTCGCACAGCTCTATCGTAGCCTAGATGTTCTTGTTCCCCATCAATAGAGGCCTATCTCCACCAGACTCAGTCACCAAAATGAGACTATAACATTTCTCTCGGCACATCACCATCAAAAGAGAGGTTGAAAACGTAGAAAAGAAGAATTTGAATGTTTTGAAAATGATTCATAATACTAAAATTGACTATTTTGTTTTCAGTTTTTGCTTTGTTTTTATGAATAATTTCTAAAAAAGCGAACATTATTAGCATTATTTTAAATTTTCAATAAAAGTAGAAATATAAATTGGACAAATCAAACATTTATAGGTTGCATCTTCATTTTCTATATCCGTCACTTGTCTCTTGGTATGATCTATTTGATTATAATGCTAAATCCCAAATCATGGTGCCTTCAACGTATGTTCTCTTTCTAATTTATTCAACTAATGTCTTCCTCCTCCCAACTTCTAGCTTATAAATGGTTTTTTTTTTTAATCTATATTTTCTACATTTGAATTAGTAAATGGTTTTTATCTCGTATTTTTTTATACACCACTTTGGTATACTAGTTTTGATTTATCATAATATGAATTGAGGGATGTCAAAAAGGAGCGGTAGGATTCAAAAGGCGGTTATGAACATGGAATTAGAATATTAGATTAAAATATATTATAAATATTTGAAGTTGTGTTTGAGTGAAGCTTCCCTCACATTTCAGCAAAAATTGTCACAACGTTTTGATGGCCGAATTGTACTTTTAAAATTTTCTAAATAAGAGTATCTTTCTGCAGATTATTCTACTATGATGCATTTGATGTCTTAAAATTATAAATCGCATTCAATATTTACCATGCAAAGTCGCATTCTACAATCGCGCGAAACTTCGTGACGTTGTAATTTATTCTTATAGAAATCGAAATGACGACTAGTAGGTGGCTGGACTATGTATGGATTTTGCGATCAAGTCAGCGTGAACCGATCGCGAAATGTGTTGAACCAGCTCTAAACTACGACTAGTATGTAATATCCAACATTAATAAGATCTTCACGTGAGCCAAGCTTTTGCAAAAACGTTATTTTGAGCAACAACCATATAACTATATATTGGTTATAACACTATTATTTTATTTATTACATACTTAAATATATACAGTTCATACTAATCCAACTAACGACCTAATATTTCAATCAAATCAATGACCGAATCCAGTATAACAAGACTGCACAAAAGTCATCAGAAGGTTAAATTCAACATCGAATGTTTCTCATACTCGATTTGTTTGTAATTTTTTTATATATTCAGGGTTCTAGTGCAAAATGATCTGAATATGCCTTTACATAATGTCAGGCTAAGACACGCAGGTTTCTGGTGTTCCCTACATTCATGTCTCACGCATAGCATTACTTAGAATTTCATTGTCTGTGTGCGCTTTATGGAATATGTCAGCGAAAATTATGCGTGGTCAAAGCCTCGAGCTAATATAAGATGCATGTGAGAAATAGCCTCCCTTTCATTCTAAACAAGGGAAGTCATCAGGAGATCCAGAAGAATATTATCCAAGGATTTAAATACATGATAGGTGATATTTAAAAGTTACTGAAACATCCATATCATAACAAAGTCAGGAAAGAGTCTCCCTATTTTGATATCAGTTACAACAGCAAGTATAACCTAACCACAGCAGTTGCTCTTCTGCGGGATCGGTTGTCCCTTCATCTGAACAGTTTCTGCCGACTTACCAACAGTAGGTTGGCTTCCCATCCTGCACATAAGTTCAAAACATCGTGACATTGATTAAAATTTGTGATTAAATAATGATTCTGAATGAGAACAGGGAAAGCTAGAGATATTAGATACTTCTTCTTAATCTCTGCTGCCATAGTTAAGAAAGCCTGCTCCACATTGATCGAGTCTTTAGCACTTGTCTCAAGGAAAGGGATACCAAGCTCATCAGCAAATGCCTGGGATTGACGGTCATACAATATATGTTAGACAAACAATGTATGATTATCCAACTCTTTATTTTCCCTTTAACATGCAGTTTAACTGATATTTCATTTACCGTTAAGGCTTGTGCTTATTTAATTAAACCATATCATATCAAACATTGAACAACTAACATAAAATGCAGATCTGGCCAATCCAAAGTATTATACATGACATGTTCTGCCAATATTAAAATTAAGAATACATACATTCAAAAGTTCTTTAATTCTTTACTAAATTTTAATTTAAGAGAAGCTGAATTCCAAGTTATAAGCAATTCTATCAAGATAAGTCCACTTCCTCTGTAATTGAAAATAAAGCAAGGAATGTAAGAGTAAAAGTAAAATGGTTGTAATGGCTATTGCTTTTGTCTTCCAGTCCCCAAAGACCAGTATCCAGAATGGAACTGATGATTTTTTGGGTTTGATTACCTCCCAAAGCACTCAAACTGTTTGAACTCTACACTGCTTGTCCTTTTTTTGGACTGGGGAGCCAATTGCATTAATCAGCAATAACTACTAAAACACACAAATCACAAGATAAATACAGTAAACCTAAAAGAAGTGGGAACCATTACAATAATATACACATTGATGAGTACTAGGACATACTGTCGAGTACAAACTTTTAGGTGAAATATAAAGAGTAAAAAACAAGCATATATGAAAATGAAAAGGTGGAGTATCCAGACACCTGATGCCTACTAATTAATTGTCAAAATAACAGTGAACTCCCTAAGAAGAAACAACAGAACTAGTGGATGAATCCCAAATAAAGTGATATTTAGTATTTTACCTTGGCAGTTTGTGTGTCTACAACCTTGTTATCAACTAGATCGCATTTGTTCCCCACAAGAAGCTTACATACACTGTCATTTGCATATCTGTCAATCTCATTTAACCACTGCTTCACATTGTTAAAGCTTTCCATCTCAGTAACATCATAGACAATCTGTTGCAATCCCAAAACTTAAGAGTTTGCGCGAGAAATTTATAGGTGGCAGAGCAAGTATATGTTTTTGACTGCATAAGATGATAGGATGAAGTTGACTTACAATTATCCCATGTGCTCCTCTATAATAACTGCTTGTTATGGTCCTGAATCGCTCCTGTCCAGCTGTATCCCACTAAACAGAGGGAAACAAGAAAAGTATGAATTGTTAGGAAGAAAGAAGATGATGCCTGGAGTGGCTTCATTTTCTGGTGACTTAGCAATATGAGTTAATGAGATTGACAGCTGAGTTCTAGTTACATGAATCCAATCTTTGCATGTGGGCATAATCCAGACTAGAACATGGTTGAACAAGCTTACAACTTACAAGCGAATGGCCATGGCGAAGTCTAAGAATATGAAATGATGAAGATATAGGAGAAAGGAAAGAGGGGAGAGACGGTGGTTTGGTTTCGGTGAATCTAGCTAGGGTAACAGAGGCGAAGATAGAAATTAGGGTAAATTTGTAACATTGGAGAATCATAAATTAGAAAAGTAGAATAGGTTTGTTAAAAACACAAATGAATAGTATAGTATTTGATTCCTGTCCTGTGAATAAATTGAACTCACAATCTGCAGCTTGACGGTTTTGCCTTGGAGCTCGACGGTTCTGATTTTCTGAAAAAGTAAAAAAAAAAAAAAAAGAGTGATGGCCCATAAATAGTTAGTTATACGGAAGGGAAGGAAAAGGAGAAGAGTGCTAGTTACGAAATCAACTCCAATGGTACTTATGTAGCTGTCGACATAGGAGTCATCCTGAAAGAAGAAAGAAAAAAACAAGTCAAGAGATGAAAATGAAAGTGAAGGGGATTCACTCAACTTACAGCGAATCTGAGAAGCAAGCAAGATTTTCCAACGGAAGAATCCCCGATTAGGAGAAGCTTGAACAGGTAATCGCTGAAATCATATCAAACAGAACCCCAAATTAGTAATAATTTCTCTCACTCAAACTCAAATAAGTTCCATTTCACTTACTATTCGTTACTCATTAGAACTCCTCTTTCAAACTCTGACCCTTCCCCACTCCACCGCTGCGGCTCAATTATACTACTATCATATCATTCTCTCTTTTTTAAAAATAAAAATAAAAAGGCTTTACTCGCACAGAAAACCGCTTTTCTATTATCCAATAAATAAACTTGATGATTCATAATTCTTTATTTTATCGGCAATGGCTTTAGTTAAGATTCAATAGACAAGAGAAATTATAATTTTTTATATACAATAAAAAATATGAGTAAATATTAATTTTATAAAAGGTATTTTAATATGTTTACTGTAAAAAAAAAATCATATTATTGGTGAATCAAGATCCTTTTTCATATTATATATTTTTAATGTATATACTCGTGGAAAGCATAAAAAGGTGGTGTCCGCAATGACACATAGCATTGATTATCGAAGCCATGCCTGATGGTGACACAGTGCCGATTAATTTGAGTCTCACCTTGTACCATTATGAGTGTATGTGTATGTGAGCTTAATATAGATATGGTAGTATAGAAAATGAATTAGACGATGAATTAGAAGTTAGAAATGAGAAATGAGAAATTGTGGACTAGGGATAGGGAGGGCAAAATGGGTTTTGTTGGTGATTGTCCCTGTAGCTAGGAATAGTGAAGTGTCTGAGCCTGCCTTCCTGTTTGGTGATGTAGGTTTGACAGAGAAAAGCCAGTGAGAATTTATGTTCAACGTCTCTGTTGACATCATGCACAAACACATGGGTCTCTCCGGTGTCTCTGTTCCTGGCCATCATACCAGCAGTATAGATAGCACTCATCCTGCCAGGCGCCTCATCATAGTAGCCAGTGGGCGCATCCACCATTATCAAGTCCCATTTGGTCTCATACACCACACTGGGCAACCCTTTCAAAGCGAGTTGGCAAATAGAGTATCTGGGGTCTCCCACTGCCCTGCACTCCTCTCCTCTCCCAACCTCCATCAGACTCTCCGCCTCCTTCACCTTGCTCTCGTATGTCACGTGGTACGCCTCCAGCATCGGAAACCGCCGCCTCATTTGCTCGATCCACGCCTCGTCTTCTTCCACGAATATTGTCCTTCCACCGTGGTTCAGTGCGCTCCACATCAGGCTGTCGTGTCCCAACCCGAACACCAGCATGTTGCATGGTGATTTCTTCTCTAACACTCTTGCTGTCACTGATATCTCTTTCTGTGTTTGCTGTGGGGTTATGCTTGAGGTTGAGTAGTGGATCAGAGCTTGGGAAACAGAAGATGGGATCTTGCTGCAACTTAGGGAACACTCTGTTGTCTCCTTCTCGCCATCACCTGATTCTTCTTGCTTCATTTTCAAGGTCGACAAGTTTGATCTTACCACAAAGAGGAGGAAAAAGGCAACCATCACTGCTATGATCAGGAGCTTCCTGTTGTGGGGTTGATGGCCTTTAGGCCTCATTCTGTACTCTAGTGACTCAAAAAATTCAATGGTTGGAACTTGGTGTAGCGAGAGATCACGGATGGGTGGGTTATATTTGCTTTCGAGTGAATGATTGACGTTTCATGCTTGGACACCAAGGGAAGGGATAGATCAAGACAAAATACCTGCCAGAATTGTGAATCAAGCAAACTCTATATAGCGGTTGTTGCATCTGCAAATTTGGTGGAATGCCTATTATTTTCCCCTTCCAGTCGTGAGCTTATTCGTGAATTTTGTTTTCTTTGGCGTGCTTCACAAACTAATATAGTCTCGTTACGGACCACTGCAATCTCACTCATGTCTACTTTGATCAACATCAAAACCAAATGATAACTAGCTACACCAAAACCCAGCTTCTTATTATTCAATCCCCAAGTAAAATGGAAGGAAAACTCTTTTCTGCTTAACGACCAAACTCCTTTAGAACAACACAAATAAGAAACACAGATTTCCTTTTTTGTATAAATGAAATGAGATCAAACCAAAGCAAGTGGCCGTAAAGCTTACGTTAAAAGAGAAGCTGAAAGACGGGTGGGAGGAAATATATATTCTAGTTAACAATCATGGAATGTTGGTATGTTTGTTAGACATTCCGAATTTCGGACTCTGTAATATGGTAAATACTAATTAGCCGTTCAATCTGCATGGAACATGAATGAAACCTCATGTCACTTTTGACAAAATGTATAAACACGCTCCAAAGTCTTGATGTATAGTTTATCTAAGGTCTCCATCCGGCTTGTTTTTAATTAATTTCGCCTTTTTTTTATCAATAGGAATTAACAGCAACGTTCGAACCTAATACCTGTTTTATATTTAAAACATGAATGCAACTTGCAAGTAATAAGTAATGTATTTTTTATATCAAATAAGTTTAATTCATAACTTCTTTTTCATAAATTTTGTGAACAACGTAAGAGTGTGGTCTTTTTTTCTTTTCATTTTTGTAGGACGGAGAATGGTACAACAACTAATACTAGAGATTAAGAAATTAAGGTACCACGAGCAAATTACTAGTATTATTTCAACTGTAAACCCAATGTGTATAGAAAAGCGAGTCTTTCTTCCGCCATCCGAATTTTTTATGCTAATGGTTTCTCTAGCCTTTGAACATAAGTGCATATCAAACTTGAATAACTGATTAACTAATGCATTAAATGAAAAAATTGTAATTCGGCAAAATTGGTTTCAAATGTACAAAGTAATGATGCCATGGAAATGACTTGGGCATCTGAAAATGAAACAACTTGCTGGTATGTTAATTTAGTAAACCACAAACTATGATACAGTCGTCAATCGCCATGGATTTCATTTGCTCTATAAACTATCCACCTTCCTGAAGCATGTAAGTGTGTCAGTTAGAAACTGTACAAGACCTTTTATGACAGTTATAAATATCTGTTGTGAAGAAGTATGTTGAAGCCCCACTACACGAGCATTATTCATCTATCGGCATCAAGAGTTGATGAATTTCCAAAAGAAATATATATCTTGGCATTGTGACAGCCACAATCTTTTGTTCAAGAGTTCTCATCCCATATTAAATGTATGATCAAAACCCTCTTGAAAGTCAATTTTGGTTTCTCACAGGGTGAAATAGTGATTCAGTTAGGCAATTCTCATGTCAGCCTTTTTGGCCTTGTCCTTGCCCAAACGAGCTTTGCGGATAGCCAGTTGGATTTGCCTTTCGTGTTCCTTAAGCATTTCTTCAAGATTATCCTCTGGAGCCAGCAACGGTCCAGAATGGTGCATGCGAGCATTTTTGTTAGAATAGCCCTGCGATCACAAACAAAAGCAAGTAATTGACAGCTCCATAGTTATATTGAGCATAAAACACTAATTACCTAAGAGAACCATTCTCCAGAATGTTTCATTCAAGGTTACAGTATCATACTAACATGCACATATATTATACAGCGAGAAGATATCTCCCAACATTGGGTTCCTTAACATTAACTACATTACAAACATTGCGAGGGAAATTTTTATATCAAGACGGACAAGCAGACTAGTGTCAATACCCATCAAGCAAACTAAGGGCCTATTTACTTCTGTTTTAATTTCCTGTTTCCATTTTTAATTTTCACTTTTAATTTTATAAAAATGTTCACATTATTTTCGATTTGTTTCCTGTTTTTAAATACTTGTACATGAAACAAAGAGAACAAATAAAAAAAATAAAAAAATTCACTGTTTTTTGTATAAATATTTAAAAATAGAAAATAGATTGAAAAAAAAAAGTGGCAATTTTTGTAGATTAAAAGTAAAAATAGGAAATGAAAACAGTAAACAGGCCCTAATCTTTCCCCCCATTCTCTATGAGGGACATGTAATGCTGTTTTCAAAATAATTGAACAATTGCAGAAATTAATGTTCATTGGTAATTCATTTACCTTGGTACGATCCTTCCCAGTAGAATGAAAGTCCTTCTTGGGCGAAGATTTGGGTCCATTCAACAATTGGTTGGACTCACCGTCGGCAAGATGGTTATATCTCATACCAAAGTGATCTTCTGACCATTGTGAATTCACACTACGGTCTCCACTCATATCAAGCCGTGAATCTCCTCGAACTGCAACTGAATTAGTAAATCTTGACACTTTTGCAGTGCTACCGTGCCAAAAGGAATTTTGTTTTCTCAACTCAGACTTTCTTGATCTAAAATCTTGATCAGGAACGTCTCCCTCTTTTGAATTCATATTGCGAGAGGATCCATATACACTTGGATGCATTGACTGGCCAGAATGAGAGAATACATTGAGTGCTCTTGACTTTGCAGGTTCACGAGGGTAGCCAACACCACCATCCTCTTCAGGATTGTACTTCTCAGTATTGCACTTAGAATGTCCTTGCCTCTGGGGGGAAAAATCACATGGAAAAGGTGTATCAGGCAAGCTTAAATAACTCAAATGAAAAGAAGGTCCGTTAACATTATGTTTATGTTTTGAAGTACCCCCATTGTTGCCTCAAACTCAGCATTAGCATCAGGTATTGGCACAGCTTTAGACTCTCTAAAATTTTTCCCAACTGATTCATGTTCATGTCCTTTATTTGCTGCTCTTTGTCTGCTTAAAAATAGACAAATGGGTGACAGTGGTAACACACATAGACAAATAAGAAGAATCACTATAGAAACAAATCAAGCCAACGCCACTATCTCAAAAAGAGAAAACAACCAAAAAAAACACTCAGATATTTATTACACTAGACACTAGTTGAAGGTTCTGGAAATGAATATCCTGAGGGGGAAAATGGAGCAAAAAATGGAGAACCTTGCAATCATTTTTGTCACTGTGCATTAGATTTTGAAGAATAATAATGTCAATCTGCTTGAGATTTTATTTTATCATATCAATAGAAAAAACAAATTATCTTTAAAGCACACACTAGAAGGGTGTTCAAAAGACTGTTCTATTGTTGCAGATAATGCAAAAATCAGATATGACAAATTCACATGAGAATCTCCAAAGATTCAAAGAAGGGGTACCTTCTAGCTTCCTCATCACGAATTTTGGCATCAAACTCCTTACTTGGTGGGTACTTTGGCAAAGTTGATGGGTCACAAGGAAGTGGATTTGCTGTGAAGAACTAGACATGAAAAATGTCAATGGCTAAGAAAAGAGTCGGTGGAAAAATCTTCTGAGGTCCCCGCACAACTAAAATTCTAGGTTGTGTAACACATGCAGAGACAAATTGTGGTGTCAACTGTGCTCAAAATAGAACTTATAATTACCTCATGCTGAAGTGCAAAAGATGCAGTTCCTCGATCTTTCGGTTCTACAGCAAGAAGGACATCCAAGATGCCCAGCGCAGATGAAGGAAAATCCTTGAAAATCTGAGAAATAACACGTTTGTAAGGTTGTTGAGGTTTAAAAATTGTTGCATGCGGTAGCTTTGACTTCTTCCAGTATTCTTCAGAAGGAGATCCGCAAAGTTTAAAGATTTTATGAAGTTGCTCCACCTAGAATGATAGAATACAAGATCTTAGAGCCCAATTAAACCATGGAAAGCTATTATGACAAATTGAACTATTAAGTATTTCAAATGAGACCATCATAAATGTTGGATCATAAAGTACACACTAACATCTGTCCTTCATTCACAATTTGTAAGACCCAGTCCTAACTTAACATGATTGCAGATAACTCAAGTGGCTATAAAACTAACATGTTGGAAATTTGGTTAGAATCATGATGATCATTTTCGTTTCTTCATCTAGTTTTACATCACATAGTGCTTATAGGGGAAAGAATAGATCTATTAGCTTAAGTCTTATAACGTCAAGCTAAGATGCTCAAGGTATCACATGTAAAGACTTCAGCATGTCTAATAAAATATAGAATGCACGTATCCAGGACAAAAGAGGGATACCTACCTCTGTCCGTCCAGGCATTATAGGCTTCCCAACAAACAACTCTGCAAGAATACATCCAGCACTCCACAAATCTACAGAAACTCCATAATCTGTAGCTCCAAGTAAAAGTTCAGGTGGTCGGTACCACAAAGTTACTACACGACTTGTTAAAGGCTGCCCGTGAGATGGCTGAAACAAAGTTGCCAGTCCAAAATCACCGATTCTCAGATTGCCATTACCGTCAAGCAGAAGATTTGAGCCCTTGATGTCACGGTGCATAACACCACGACTGTGACAATGCTCAAGACCGCAAAGAAGCTGTTGCATGTAACACTTGATCTGCAGTATGACAAAAAGTATTGTCCCATTGCGAAAACAAGAGAACCACAAACAATTAACGAAGAAAGAAAACTAGAGAAGACATCTGACATTAAACTTTCAAGCTGTAAATACAGCCAGATGCAAAGAATACGTAGCCTTTTTGATAAAAGATTATTGTTTGTTTTGGATTTTTGCATTAGGGTCCTGCTAACAATCGTTCAAAGGGCACTGGTTAAGGAATCAATAAATAGAAAGGTTTTATTGGAAACCCTGGGTGTATTGGTAATATTAGATGTTACACTTTCTACTTTTAACACCTTAACAAGTACCCTAACTGGTATTACTATTCTACTTTGCTTTAAACAAATTTCTTGTCTATTTCAAATAACGAGTTAATTGGCTGCATGGTATACAATCTAAGTGCAGCATCCAAGGCAGTTAGTTAGATCTTCTCAGTTATAGAGATACTATAGGATTGTTGCAAGATGACGAGATAAGCAATTCATAAAACTTAAACATACCAACTAGGAGAAAGAAAACATTGTAATCAATATATCTCGTGTATCAATATGCCATTGCAATCACAGTGAAACCCTTTCATTTCAAAAATTCTCAAAAGTTGCCACTCGCCTCTAGGTCTCCAGAAGATACAGTGCTTTTGGCTCATGAAATCAAAGTGATGCTTTTATTATAAACAGCTAATTAGCAATCCATTCCATGTCTGGTTTGAGAATTTGTGTCATTCTGTTGTTAATTATACAAATACCAGACAATTTCTAGATCTCACAAGGTTAATGAAGAAAATAATCAGGCTCACTATGCAAGTTTATATGCAGAAAAGTCACATCAAGAGAATTTTAAATACTTACAAGACTAATTTTACAGTTGTAAATGACAGAAAGGTTCTCATCTAAGTTTGTGTGATGCATAATTATTAATTAGAAGCTTGGTCAGGTACCTGTGTTTCGGTAAACTTGATGCCAGGTATTGCTGCAAGCCCTGCAAGATCATGCTCCATATATTCAAAAATAAGGTACAAGCTACCAGAAACCCTTGAAGTAATCATGCCTAGAAGCTTCATGACATTTGGATGATCGAGCCTTCGCAGCACAATAATTTCTCTTGACATAAAACGGACACTTTCTGGATCCATATTAGCAAATCGAACCTTTTTCAATGCAACAACTGTATTTGTTTCAAGATCACGAGCTCTGTAAACACTGCTGTAAGTTCCTTGGCCAATCTGCAGTTTGATTAATTTGATAAATGAGGAAGTGAGTGAAAAGAAGTAGAGTGTAGCGGTGTTGCAAATGTGAAGAAAGAGCAAAAGAAATTTAGAAAGATGGCAGAGAAACATAAAGAATGGAATGCAGAAAAGCAACCTTATCCAACTTCTCAAATGAGTCAGCTCTGCGGGGCACCCAACCACTAATGGCTTCGCCAGCAACTGCAGTTAGCCAAGAGGGCCAACCAGCAAGAACCTGCGCTCCTCTTTCCCCTCTCGTGACACTGTATACCCTACACAGCCTAGGTGTTGCCGTTGATTCCATTGCCACCACCCCATTTGTATTCTTATTCTTGTCCTGTTCATCCGATGAAACTGGGGTGGAGGGTTCCGTTCCGTTCCCATTCCCAATGGCATTGCCATTGGATATGAGGCGAGCAGTAGTATCATTCTCTGATACACCTCTCCTCCCCAAATGGAAAGGAAAATGCTTCGATTCTTTCCCATCTTTTCCTTTAGAGCATATACAACCCATATTCCTATTCCTTTAAACTCAATCCATAATTGGGCAAATTAGATCCCAGATAGAATGAAAATGTTACCAGAGACACGCACATGAGAGATGCTTCGCTTCACATAGCATATTCATATATCATGTCACACCTCAACCAAATCACGCATCCACCTATTCTCTCATATTTCAGTCGTTCGATTAAGATTCCATCCATCAGATTTCGTGATTGACCAATTCAACCACAAAACATACCAATATTTAACCGTCCGATCCCTCTCTAACTACTCAAACCGCATCACCAAATCTATTTCCCTCCATGCCACGTATTGTAAATATAAACTACTATTTTAATTGTACTTTATAATCACAATTATTTCATTTATAATATAATTCAAATTTATAATAAATAAATATTGTAAAAATATAAATAATATTTTTATTTATGATATATTATAATACATGCTTGTTTGTAACTGTTGACGAATTTTTTTAAAAAATAGTGAAAGTAAAATTAAAAATAATAGATTGAAATATGTAATTTTAAAAAAAATAAGTGTACGAATAAAAATAAAAAGAAAAGTGGTTTGAGATGGTTAAGAAAAAATCGTGGACTGAATTTACACCCAAATGAATTTTAAGTTAAAATTAATATAAATAAATAAATGCTTATTATAAAAATGTGTAACTTAATAATAATTAGAAAAATATATAAAACAACACTTTTGTTCAATATTACTAGGAGTGAACAAAATGAACTGAACTTAAAAATAATTCTCATGAACTAAACTAAACTGAATATTAATTCAGATGAATTAAACTAAACTGTCCTTTTGTCATTGAATTGAACTAAACTGTATTATAAAAACTTGAATTGAATTGCAATAAACTATTATGATATTTTGAATTGAACAATTTTGCCTCATTGGTCTGTCAAGATAAGACATATTTGTCAACTTTACTTTATTTTTTATTTTATTTAAATTTTTCAAAGGAAAAAAATATAAAATTGAGTCAAACAAACTCAATGAATTTTAAGCCTAAAAATAAGTCGTCCAAAATAACTCAATTGATATATTAAGTTCGATAAAATTGATACATTTTTTTTCGGATCACTTTTTTTTCCTCCAAAATTTTGGTCATTAGATTATTGAGCTAATCCATTAAGACAAAATATGTTAAACACATTTAATTTTTATCCTTTTATAAAAATAATTTAATTTTTATAATTTAGTTCAATTTTTATAGTTCATTATAGTTCAACTTTTCAACAATTCAGTTCAATTTAGTTTTTTTACAAATAATTTAATTTTTTATAGTACAATTCAGTTCAGTTCACCACCATTCAGTTCAATTTTTTTTGCCCACCTCTAAATACTACCTCATTTCTTAATTATGAAATTCTTTCAACTAAACTATACCTTTAAGGAAAAAAAATCTAGTTAAAAATATTAAATTTATCGATAATTTAATCTACTATTTCAAATTTAGTTTTAACATCTTTGAAATTAACTTTTTGTTTTCTAATTAGTTATTTTTTATATTAAATATTTAGTGTTTGAAAAAAAAAAAGAGAAATATCTAGGTATTTATTTAATTTTTTTAGTCTTAAAAGAAGATATTTTTATTCAATATATTTCTATAATTTATTATTTTTCTAAAATAGTTGTTAATTAAATAAGAATATTTTTGAAAAAATATAGTTAATACATCTAATAATTGAAAAATGGTCTTATAAAATGCATAAATAAAAAATGAAAATGATTTTATATATAGAACAAAGGTAATAATAAATATCACAAACACTTTCTCTCAAGAATAAAATTCATATTTATGATACGTGGTAGATTAAAATAAAATAAGTAACATAGGGCTCCCCTTTTCACTCCTTGAGTTTTTCAGGAAGGTGGCAAGACATTTACCCAAAGTTAAGTTGTCAAAAGAAGTTAAACTCAACTATCATGTGATAGAATTTAACTTAAACTCTATTACATAGGGATAAATATCTTTACATAAGAGTGCACACAAAAAATAATTATCAAAAAATGGTATCATTTTTATTAATAAAATAATAATTATTAATAGAATAAATGACTAATATTTTTAGTGAATTTTCTTTTATAATTATTGTTTTTTATTTATAATATTTGAATTTGAGACTTAAGATATTCGAATTCAATTTCATGGAGACCAATTACAAGCCGATAATTATTAAGTGTTTTTATACTTCTGCCTCACCTTTTTTTTATTTTTTATTTTTTATTTTATTTTTATAATATATTATATTTTAACACATTACATAATGTATTACAACCTAACTATATATACGGAAAAATCGTTGTTATAATATATAATTATTTTATAATTTTATAATATACTAACACGAAAACAGATATTATGGACTCCCGCTAAAATAAAAGTCTGGGGCTAATTTTATAAATTAAAATTTATTAAATAAATATATAAAATATAAGTATTAAATTTAATATAAATTCTTTATAATTAGTGAATCAAGTAATATAAGGTATAATTAGAATAATTTTTTTATTTATTTTTAATCTCTTAAATTTAAAATTATTGTTTTTAATTTTTGTAATTTTCAAAATTTTGTTTTAGTCCCTTATGTTATCACTAACATATATAAAAGTAACGAGACAATTATTTATTAGTTGGGTCTAATATGATATTTTTCACTAATAAAAATATTGGTAGATAGATAAATTTTGTGCGATAGTGTTTGACAAATTTTCAAACAAAATTTAAATATAAAGATTAAAATGATTATTTTTTTTTAAATTACATGAACTAAAACAATCAATCTTAAATTTGAAATACTAAAAATAAATTTACTTTAAATTTGAAAGACTAAAAATATATTTAAATCCATAATAGAAAAAGATATAAATGTTTAAAAAGTTTAAGAAATCAAAGAGAGATATTTCCTTTATATACCGTACTACTGGAGTTGAATCACATTGTACATCTATATATATTTAGAAATATTTAAAAATTATAGATGTTTGTTGAACCATTGTATTTAATCTTTAAACCATGTCATGAATTTGAATCGTAAATTTGTAAGAATAATTAATTTTTAAATATTATTTTTTATTATTTAAAATTTTTAAAAATAAAATAATCTAAAAATTATATACACAAAAATAATAATTTTTTTATATATAGTTAAAGAATAAATATAGATTATATATATTTTTAAATAATTTAATAATATATAATAGAAAATAAATTAAAATAAACTTTAATTATCAGTTTCACATATCACTAATAATCGTATAATAAAAATTAGTATATATTAATGACACGTTTTACAAAAATCTTATTAATTATGTTATAAAGTAAAAAAGAAATCATATATATTAACTATGATGAATATCGTGAAAGTAAATTCTAACTAACATATGGTGCAAGATGATAATGGGTTTGTTTTCAAGGTGAGAACATGAGTATTTCGGGTTAAAAGTACATTAAAAATAATAATAACAACAAGATTAATAATAAATAGTCTTTAATTTTAAAATAACTATAATAAAATTAATATATAGAAAAAAAAGACTAATATTGTCATTTGACTGCAAATGTAATCATTCATGGTAACAATAAATTATAAAAAGAAAGATTCTTTAAAATAAATCAATAATATCAAAATATTCTATCTAAATAAAAGGAAAAATATAATTATGTCCAATCAAATACCGTAAAAATAGAAATATTTGCTTTAAAAGAATTTCATTATCTTCATAATAGATATTATAAAAGATAATAAAATACTTTATAAAAAAATATAGAAGAGATAAATAAAATTTAGATATTAGTATTTTTATAACTAAAATCCTAAGTGTAAACAATTATCTTAATTATATTAATAGTAAAATACAACAATATATATTAAACAATTTAAAAATTATGAAAAATTCGTGGGGGCAAAGACCCCACTTACCAAGTAAATCCGTCCTTATTATCATGGAAAAAAATCAGTATTATAAAATTAATTAATTTATTATATATATATCCTTTATATATTATTATAAATTTTGAAAATTGACCCTTACAATACAATTAGCAATATTATTAGGTCATAACTTTCTAAATATACACCCTGAAAGCTAGTTTCTAGAAAGAAAGAAAGAAAAAAGTTTTTTTTTTAATTCATTTATTTATGAAAAACAAAATGAAAAGAGAAAAAAAAAGTTACAAATAAATTAGCTTTATGAGTCTTGGATGAGATAGTAAATGTAGTATTGAGAATAAGTTAGCTTATGTGTATGAATTGTGTTTCTTACTGAAAGATAAAATTAAGGTTTATATTCATGTTCGAATAAGTAAATATTAATGGTTTATGATTCATTTTAATAATAAAATTAAATATAAAAAATGCCATGTTCAATTAGGGAAAAGAAAATATTAGGTGTGCATATTGTTGGTAGAGTTTAGTTAATTTAAGTTTGCATAAGCATGAGATTAAGGAGATAATTTAGCGGTAAGAGAGAGAAAGAGAGAAGACCCTGACACGTAGGTAGGGAGTTAGCCGAAGCAAGTCCTTTATCCACGAAGCGGAAGGTTCGGAAGACACAGCTGGAGACAGGCTGTCACCAACAAAGTCCCACTCACCAATTCCCCCTCTCCTCTTTCTCTCTCTCTCTCCCCCCATTCTCTTCCCTTCCCTACATTCTCTCTCTCTCTCTCTCTCTCTCCAATCCCAATTAGGGTTTGCTGATCCCCTTCTTCCCCTCCCTCATCCTCACTGGATCAATATTGCTCCCGCTGTAAGCTCTCTCCTCATCCCTCTCTTTATGCCTATCGCCGTTTTATTCCTTTTTCATTGCTTGTACCGTCTTTGTTCTTCGCCTCTTTACCACGTTCAATGTTTATTTATATATGCCGCAATTTGTCTTATATTTTTTCTTTATCGCATTTGCTTGCTTGAAACCATGTATGCGGATTTCAATTTCGATGATATGTTATGTTAACCCTACCTATATTTGCTTCGAGGAAAACAAAGAGAAACTGGACTTCAAATTTTGTTCCATCTTTGGATGCCTCACAAAGTGGCAACGATTAGCTTTACTGGTTAATGTGCCTTGTCAATAGCTGCTTCCTGAACACCAACTCTCTTCATTTTTACTAGCTACTCTCCATTTATTGTTGTGTCTCTCAATTTTATTTTTACATGTTTCTATTTGTTAGGAAAGACTCTTTAATGTTGCACAACGGCATGTGTTTCATGTGACCTTGTTTGGTTTTAAGAAAAGAAGGGAACAATTTCTTTGTTGTAATTGCAATGCGGTCTTTTTACTGCTATGAACTTAATGCTTCTGTTGCTGAGGTTAAATCCCCGGTTGGAAGCGAACTTTGTGTTTTATGCTTTCTGTGTAAGTCTATAATTTGAAGGCTTGTGATGGGATAATGGATATTAGGGCCGCACCCCCTCTTCTGAATTTCTGTTGTCTGCTTTCTGTGTAGGCCTATAATTTAAAGGTTTGTGATGAAATAGCGGATAATGGCTGTAGAAAACATGGAACATGAAATTTACTCCGCTAGCTGTCTGACATCACCTTTGTGAATTAATTCAACTGACTTATAGTGTGTTTGGATATAGGAAGCGTTATAATATTGTAGCAACCTGACACTATTTAATGTATTAACGCATCTTTTGTAATTACCAATTTAGGAATGTAGTGCGAAGTCTCGCCTAAGCGTTATTGTTTGTTTTTATAAGTTATTTTTCCTTTCAATATGCTTTTTCTCACTGCCTGTGTATTGGTACCCTTGCATTTATTAACATATGTTAAGCTTTTTATGATTCAAAAAATTATCCGAGTTTGGTTAGAATATCTGAACTATGATAATTTTAGACTTGAGACTGAGCAAAATTGTTTCAGTTTTCCATTGAAGTATTAAACTTCCATTGTTATTTATTATTTATTTCCTTGATTTTAGGTGCTTGAATTGGATAATCAACCTTAAAGCTATATGTTCAGAGGTTGATGTATTACCCATAATCTTGTTGCTATTATGAGCATTTGGAGGGATGCTACTTGATTGATCTGGGATGTTGTGGAGCAAGCTACCCTGAGTGGTTATGCATATCTGCGTTGAGTTCAATCATCATGTTCTTTTATTAATATTGGGAACTCATCATGTTCTTTTATTAATATTGGGAACTCAGTGATTTATTCTTCGGTTCTGGAAAGAGGGCACAACCACCAGAGGTTTTCCTGTATCCATGCTGTCGGAGAGCATGCGTGGAATCTGTACATCGGGTAATGCCCCTGTCGAGATTTGCTGCCGAGGTATTCGGTGTGGTGACGATTTGTTTAGTAGCCATCTTGATTTTTCTTGGGTTGATGTGCATTGCTTACTCATTTTACTTCCGCTCTCGGATTCGTAGTCAACATTTGCATCAGCTCAAATATTTTAGTGGTCCTTGGATTGTCAGAATCACATTCATCCTATTTTCAATCTGGTGGGGCATTGGTGAAATTATTCGATTAACCTTGTTAAGGAGTACCTTTCACTTAAAATGGCAGGACACTGTCTGCAAGTGTTATATTGTATCAAATATGGGGTTTGCAGAGCCGTGCCTCTTCCTCACACTTGTATTTCTCCTTCGTGCGCCTTTACAGGAATTGGAGACTGGAATTATGAGCAAAAAGTGGAATGTGAAAACTTCGGGATGTATTCTTCTTTACTGCCTTCCGATGTTTGTTCTTCAGCTTTTTGTTATTTTGGTTGGACCTCAGTTAGACAAGAATAAGGGTTCTGGAAAAAAGTTGCCTCATTATTTTTCAAGTGCAGCGGTTGCCTCTTCAATCGCTGGGGAGAACGATACCACCCTCTGTACTTACCCTTTACTCAGCACTATTCTCCTAGGCCTTTTTGCTATCATCCTGACTTCCTACCTTTTTTGGCTTGGTAGTCGGATTTTGAAATTAGTTATTAACAAGGGTTTGCAAAAGAGGGTTTACACATTGCTATTCGCAGTTTCATGTTTCCTTCCATTAAGGGTTGTTTTTCTTGGTTTATCTGTTTTATCTGGACCTGAGCATTTTATGTTTGAAGCCTTTGTTTTCTTGGCTTTTCTTGCACTAGTATGTTGTGCTGGGTTGTGCATGGGCACACTTGTGTACCGTCCAGTTGCAGATTGTCTGGCGCTGGGAAATCTACAAGACTTGGAAGCGAGGAGGTTCCAGGAAGATCATAATGATATTGTGTCTCTCATTGCTAACCAGAGTCATCTGGAAGATAATGTTGAAGAAAATGCTCGGTCTAGTCCTGGTAGATATTCTGATGCATCGACAAAGCGTGGATCAATTTCATTTCGGACATTGGAAAAGGGTGTTACATCAACCGGAACATTTGTAGAACTAAGCCTCTTCTCCCCCAGCCGCAGTGCAACTCCTCCAGGATCGCCTCCTCTTCTAGGTTGGCCTATGCGATCCCCAGCACAAGTCATTGGACCATAGAGGCAGGCTGGAAACTAAATATGTTGGGTGAAATATCAATTTTGTGGAAAAGGGAAAACTGATTGTAAAGGATTTAGCTTCAATAAGGCGTCTTTTTTTCTTATGTTTGCTAATTCTAGGTATAATGTTTTTCCCTGGAATTTATTGTGAGTACCTTTTTACTTTTCTGTACCATCTCGACAACGTTTTACCTGTTTCTAATTTTGTACTTGAAATGTTGGAATACTCTTACGTGAAGTCATTGGGTTACGACTTAATGTTTGATTTGAGATTTTACCATCTCTGACAACATTTTACTCTTCTAATTTTAGTTGGTGGTTTGGTTTACGACTTGATGTTCCATCTTAGATTGAGTAAACATCTTTCATGTAATCAGACGAGTTAGTTGCGGCGGTATTACTTGGTCTGATTACTCGTGCACGAGTATTAAATCTCAGAATTATCACCTCCACGACCAGTTTCGTTTGACAATTATCTGGTAGCTAGCTACCTCTCACTGGGTGCTTCGAAGAAACGGAGGAAATCTCGTCAAATCAAACCCGAGTGCCTCTTGCATCGATTTCTTTCTCTTTGCATGAGTGAATGACAGTACAAAACTTTTATATATCAAAACTAGGCTTAAAACTTCAATCATAGTTAATATACGTAAGAGTGGAAAAATAGAAAAGTAGGGACGAGTAGGGCAGCATCTTGCCACCTTGGTTACTGACACTAATGAACCATATTTCGTATGCTGTGATCGAGTGAAGCTTTCCTTCATTATGCTTTGGAAAGGACACTTATTTAATTAAAAATCTAACACGGTGCACACGCATCCATCTTAGCCTTCATACAGAAAAGGCACGTAAACTCAACAGTGCTGGATATCGCACTTCAAAATTTGAATTAATTGATAACTTTGTGGTGATTTGTTGGATATCGCACTTCAAAATTTGAACTGCAAAATTAGAACTAATAGATAGCATTGTGGTGATTTGTTGGATGTAAACACCGTAAACAAACTTTGGAACAATGCAGATGTTTATTTAGTCATAACAGTTTAAAGTACACGTTCCTATATATGTTCTGAACTCGCGAACTCTGGTAATCTAGAAACCAGTCTAACCAAAAACATTAATAGCATTTCCCGCAACCTAATTACACTCAGTTGCAGAATACAAGACAAGGAACAGGGAGAAGGGGTAGACAATATCCGGGGAGGCAAGTCATCTTTTATCAGCAAAATACAAGGCAAAAATGTAGATATATGTGGGGAAATTGTCGCCATGGTAAAACTGTTCTCAGAAAAGGAAGTTCAGTCATCAACTTCAGCTTTAATCTCTCTCAGCAAGTCCTCCTTGTAATCCTCAAATGTTCCTGGGAAAGTTTTGCAAGTACCATCCTCGACAACCCAGATTTGACTCCTTTCTTCATCTTCACATACGCGTGATATCAACCTTGAATCATGACTAACAAGAACAACTCCACCAGTGAATTCATCCAGTGCATCAGCCAAAGCATCGATACTTTGCATGTCCAGATGATTCGTGGGTTCATCTAACAACAAAATGTGTGGTTTTGACATGGAGATTGATGTGAAGACCACCCGAGCTTTCTGCCCTCCTGATAGTTTGGCAATAGGAGTAAGATGGTTATGACTTGGTAGTCCAAACTTACCAAGTTTTGCACGGACAGCCTCCTGCTTGCTAAGTCCCTCCTGATCTGGATGGAGCCGGAGAAGATACTGCACAGGTGTTTCATCCATTGTTAGAAGGTCCACAAAGTGTTGGGAATATCTTCCTATCCTCAACTTCTGACTCCTTCGAACTTCACCCTCAGAAGGAACCAAATCACCAGCGAGAAGGTTCAGCAACGTAGATTTTCCAGCTCCATTAGGCCCAACAATGGCAACACGAGTCCCCATATCAATGCCAACATCAACATTTGAGAGCCTGAAATCCTCCCGGTTTGGGTAGCTAAAGCTGACTTCAATAAGCTGCAGAAGTGGAGGGGTGAGTTCAGTAGGTTCAGGAAAGTGGAACTCCACACTGTAATCCCTCCACTTCTGAGGTACCTCTGGTCGGGCCTCATCCTCATCCACCTTGCTCTTGCCCTTGCCTTTAGATGCTTCCTTAGCTGCTGCAAACTTAGCTCGATCCTTAACCTTTTCTTGTTGAGCACGGTTTCCACTCCTTTTAGCTGCTTTCAATTGCTTGTCATAAATCTCATACTTCTTATTCATCTCTTTACGACGTTGTTCATACCCACTTTCAAAATCATCAAAATTTCCCCGATAGAAATGAAGTTTCAAATCATGGAGATGAATAATCTCAGAACACACTGTATTGAGAAAATCCCTATCATGAGAGACAACCACCAAAGTTTTTTTCCAACGGCACAAATACTCTTCCAACCAGAGAACAGCCCTCAGGTCAAGATGATTTGTGGGCTCATCAAGCAATAAAAGAGTTGGTTGCACAAAAAGTGCTCGAGCTAAAGAAATTCTCATCCTCCAGCCACCACTAAAGGATTTTGTAGGACGGCCTTGCATATCCTTTGTAAAACCCAAACCAGCTAAAATCTTTGATGCTTGAGCTTCAGCAGCATCAGATCCCATCAGCTGTAGTTTTTCATATAGCTCTGCTAGCTTCTCTCCTGCATCATCTTCCTCGTCATTATCTTTGTCTACACTTTCTTCAACAGAAGCTGCATTCTGCAGAGAAGCAACTTCTTGTCGAATTTTCACAAGTTCAACATTAGCTGAAACAACAGCTTCAAGTGCTGTTTTATCATCACCAACCACTTCCTGCTCAACCAGAAGGACATCAATATTCTTAGGTACTGGTATCTTCCTCCAAGCAAGAAGCTTCAACAGTGTGGACTTGCCCATTCCATTGGGCCCAACCAAACCATATCTCTTCCCATGAGATATCCTCACTGATGCATTCTTCATAAGTTCTTTACCACGAGCAGACACAGAGAAATTTTCAATTGTTATATCTTTGACATTAGCATCAGCGTCATCATCTCCATCAAGCACTGAAGCCCGGCTTCCAATCACAACAGTGAAAGCATCATGATCATCCCTAAGAGCTTCCTTCTTTGCTTGCTCAGCAGCATGGGCAGCTAAAAGATCCTTCTTTTCACGCTTCTTCAACTCTTTGTCAGCAATAGACACTTCAAGCGGCTTCAAATCAGGTCTTTGCTGCTGACTGGACCGTTTGGACACATTATTTTGCTGTTCTTCCTCTTCCAAGAGATCATCATCTTCATCGTCAGAAGGAGGAAGATCGATGCCATCAGTGTATGTCGAAGCTTTTGGAGCAGATTTTGGCTTTGGCTTACTAGAGGCAGAGACTTTTTTAGGTTTATCAGGCTTTTCATCCATACTGGCCAGCATGGCAGAGACAGAGAATTTTTCCTTCTTAGGAGCATCTTTGCTACTTGACTTACCCTTTGCAGATGTTCCTGTATCCTCTGTCTTTTTCCGTCCCATTGTAGAAAACTGGCACAAGCAGAAACCCTATTAATTTATGTCAAACAATCTTGCACCATTATTGCTATGTCCTTCTCTAATAAAACTGACAACTGAGCTAACCAATAATAAAAGTTCAAATGATCTTAACATGGGCATTGCACATAAAATTTAAAATGATAAGTGACTATAAATACTACCTTTTGAACAGAGATTAGAAGCTATTCAATTCAAAGTTTTCAATAAATTTCCCTGACAAATAACTACCTTTGGCTTACATGTTAACGAGATTAATCTTGAATCATATTAACAAATTAAAATTTACTTTATTAGATGTGAGTGCTGTCTATATCTACACATTATCTCGAACCAGATATCAACATTTAAAGGAACAAAGAAGTCATAAAATCATTCTATCGAACAGGAGCAAATCAACGAGAGCCCAGATAGAGGTGTGATGTGATGGGAGAGATAAGATCTAAGAAAAAGGACCGATCAAGAGATGGAAGCTAAATTAAGCGCAGTCGAAAGATTGAATTTTACAATTCATGTAGAAAGGCTTCATAAGTAAATCGTATTGTTAAAGATAACAGTGAAGGCAAGTAATAAAGATGAGGAAATAACCAAAAGAAGCATGAAAATAAGACGGACATAGAAATCTCTATCTATCTTGATTGGTTCAATTTGTGAATCAGAAAATAAATATATTATTGTTAGAGACGATCAATCAAGAAGCGATTAAAGTGTTAAATTAGAAAAAAGAAATGGAAATATTAAATCGTGATACGGACGATTCCCTGCTCTCTCTGTTCTACGAATTCAATTAGAATTCCTAGTTCATACTTTTACTGATAACAAATCGAGAAAAGTGGAAACCTGAATTGGCAGCGGCGATGAAGTTGCGCACAGTTGAGTTAGGGTTTCAGACAAGCCCACACCGATACAATATCGTTTATACGCCTTTCTACCTTTTTTTTAATTTTAATTTTAATTTTAATTTTAATTATATATATATATATATTAAAAATATATTTTAATAACCATTTTTTGTTCATCACTTTTAGAAGTTAATTAACAAAGAGAATAAAAAACAATTGTGAGAACCTTACTTTCAAATTATGTTGTACTTTAATTTATACAAAGAGTAAATGATGTTTTTATATATTTTTAATTTTAAATTTTACTAGTTAAACATTAAAAAATCCGTACAGTACAAAGTAAATTTCAATTTATTAAAAGCCCGTTCATTTTAGCAATAACACCTCCTTATGTACTAATTTCAAGCGTGTAATCCACTAGTTGGAGTTGATTCACGCTTAAACAAGGTCAGGAATTCGAATTCTGCCTTGTATATACAGCCACGTTTATATATTTCAGGAACAAAAAAAAAACACCTCTTTATATACTACAATAAAGAACTAACAACAAATAGTTAAATTTAAAATTTTTAATAAGAGATCAAATTTATAAATTTTCAAAAATTTAAAAATTATTTAATATTTCATTTTATTAATTTAAATTAATATTATGATTATCTATCAACATATATATTATTTATATCTATCTATTATTTATTTATTTATGTATTTATTAGAGATATATTTTGATAATTACTTTTTTAATCTCTATTTTTTAGTAAATTAATATGTTCCTTAAATGTAAAAAAAAAAATCTTCTCAAATTTTCTCTAAATATCTATTTACAACTTCTAATCTTTGTTGAGACTTTTGGAATTAAAAATATATATTTATATGATAATTGACTAACATTTGTTATTTTTATTGGTCGTTACAAAATAAATATATATTAGAGACACTTACTTGTTATAAAAAGAA